GAATGGATTGGATGCGCCATCAAGCAATCGCCATATCGCTTAAAGTTGTAGGACAAGTTAAAATCATTCAATACACACATAAAATGCACAGTTTTAAATGTTCTCAATTTCAACTGCCAACAACAAAATTACATCATGTTATGTAATAAATATATTCAAAACAATAGGATATAAGAGCTCCAGGGAATCACTGACCATAATTAAACTACCTACATGTAAATTTTTCCAATGTGGTTCAGTGACAACAAGAATGAAATGTGAATAGACTGAACAGTATCTTTTCTGATTTTAAATGTAAAATCAGTAGAAAAAAAGGGTCTTAAGAACTTAACAAAATACCAGAGCTTAATTCAGTTCTGGTATTGGCCCTTACTGAGGTATGATTGAAGTACATGTAGCTGACTAAAAAGAAACTAAGCAGACATGGATAATGTCCTGTGGTTGAGGGTTCCGCCCCCTCTTGTGTAACATAAGCTATTTTCTGTTCATTTGTCAGGAAAAGGATCTTATTTCTGAGCAATGATGCTCATTGCAGACACGTGGCAGTGTTTTATAGTCATGATGTGGGTGTCCTGTGGTACATATTGCATGTATATGTACTTCTTATACTTAATTTTCTCAATGCTCATGTATCATTGGATGTTACATATGTCTATACCTGGAAGCCAATTTAATCAAACCAATTGTTTTGTACAGTCTGTGGTTGTACAAGGTTGACTGTTCTCTTTTGCGAAAAAGAAGTTCTCTGATTGGACAATTGAATATAGTGATGACAGACATTGATGAGTTGTGCTGAGATCTTGCAGGGTATTTAGATACACCACCAGAAGACACAGCCTCACTTGGCAGGCTGGTAATACCCATGCAACTTCTGTTAAAGATATTACAAGCCAGAAGATAGCACAAGAAAAAAATGATGCCAGATGATTTTAACGAGACATACCTGGAATTCTTTGAAGATTTTTCTCTCATCAATGAGTCAGGATTTCAGACAGAATTTCTACAGAATGGCACACAAACTTTGTCTATGGAAAGTGTCTCGGTTCCACTCCGTGTTGTAATCCTCACACTGAAGGGAATCTTTGTAATTTTGGGAGCTGTGGGCAACACTTCCGTTGTGGCGGCCATATTACATATCCCAAAGTTCCACAAGTCTGCTCATTATATCCTCATCTGCAGTCTCACCTTCAACAATGCCATGGTATCTTTCCTGGAGACATTTCCACAATTTCTGGCATTTACCATCCCAGACTGGGACATAGGACAGAGACTCTGTACCTTCTCCTTCTACGTCAAGCTGCCCCTGCTCACAACATCTGCTTTGCTATTGGCTCTTATTGGATTTCAGCGTTGTATCGTCATTTCTAGCAAACCAGGTGATGCAATGGCAAATAAATTGAAATCATCAAAATACATTGGGGGACTAATTTCTCTGGCATGGTTGTTACCCGTGCTTTTCATAATTCAAACAGCTTTTGTGTGCAGTGGAAAGGTTATACTTTATAGCCCAGAAAGCCTATTATGTATGTACGATATCAGAAAAAAGCACTGTGATTCAATGGCCATCTTTATGGTCTTATATGTAGCAGCATCAGTCATCATGTTGGTTTGTGATGGTGCCATCATCTATAAGATGAAAAAATTGAAGGAAATAGTTGCTCCAGCAACTTCCACAGAGAACTTGCCGCCACAGCAGCAGCAACCATCATTCCTTGCTAAAACTGAACTTCAGCTTACCAAAACCATGTTTCTCTTGATGCTGAACAGTTTCATTTGCAACCTCACTCCAAGTCTTGTGTCGAACCTCATATCCATTGGCCCAGAAGCCTATATTGTTGCATCGTTACTTTTTCAGCTCTCATATACAATGGATGCCATCATATTGTATGGCAAAAACACGGCACTCAGAAAAGCAATTCATGCAATGTTTAAACCATGTTTCTGCAAAGCATGACTTCCTTAAAAATAAGCCTGACAGGTTATATAAAGACCATTGGCAAATCTGAAACTTTGCCTGATATAAACTTGAAGCTTAACCAAGATGTGACTAATGTGTATCATGATCCAACATTAGAAGTGCTGGAAAGGTGACAATCAATTAAGAGATCAAATTATGATTACTTAATTTACTTTTATAATCATAGCTTATAGTGTTCAGTTACTCTTTATTTATTCAGATCACAATGCATCCAATACATTTTACAAAATTTATCTATTGTTAACGTGCACATGAAGGTAATTATCACAATATGGGTTTTTCTCTTGTAGTTTCATGTGTCACATTTTACCACTTACCATTTTTATCAAATTTAACCAAGAGCCAGTAAGTGTGAACATTGTACAATTACTCTGGTTTACTGTCAGATCATTAATATAATGGTAACTATCAAGAGCCTGGGGATAAAATGCAAGCAGTAATCATTGATGGCAAATGAAGTAGATGTAATTACCAACATCAATACTGGGGCAAAATGCCATATATATAGCGTTCTTCTAAAGAACATGCTGATTATACTGAGCAGGGTCAGTGACCATAAGTCAGGCAGTTTGCTGCAATTTAAAACAACATCCAATGGAAAAGCAGGGAGGTTGGTCTTCAATGTCTAGATACAATGTGTCATGTGATCAATAGTCACGTCAAACTTTATGTATAGACTTTGTACTACTGCTCTATTGTAATGTTTTATTTGTTTATTAATCTTTTTACAATAGTTTTGTTTACTAGTCTTTTTGTAAAACTAGTTTTGTACAGAGCCAGTTAAAATGCTGGATTTGGACACAAAATGTAACTCTAAAACATTCAGTATTCAAATAGAGTTAATCAAAGACTGACTGTGCAATATTAGTCTTTGAGCATTTGACTAAGATCAAGGAAATGACAATTTTGCTATATATTATATATCTATTTGTTATATATTAAAGGACTACTTGGATTGGATGATTGTGTTATTCCATTTTTACTTCAATACTTTAGTTTTAAATGACTGGCCAGACAAATTAACGACATCTGCCATCACACACATTTCGCGTTTTCACACAAGAAAATGGCGGAACGTTTTCTATTGCAACCCTGTATCATGTATAATAAACTTTGCAAGCTGGCAATGGCTACCCAGGGTAGATTAACTTTTATCTTAGGGTTTTACTGTCTTTTGATTCTAAATTGGGAAATATAAGAATATTTACAGGAAATGAATAGGACTGTGACAGACTTTAAACCGAGGGGAGAGTACCCTGTACAAGGAAAAATCCTGTGGAGTTGTCCTTTAATAAACTCTCTTTAATCAATCACTAAGATCAATCAAAGATTTCCAGTAGTGCTTCATTAGTCTTTAGATTATTTGTCCAACTTACATTTGGATAAACAGGCCTTCACACTGGTAATCAGAGTAGGCATTAACTAATATACTGGCAGATCTTTCAGCACCAACGCCCATATTTACAACATAACCCATAAATTAACCAACATACTGTAAAAGTATTTACCACTTTCTGGTAAAAACTTGAAAATGTCAATGAATATTTTAAATTGCATGAATCCCATAAATGTTTCAAAATTACTATCTCCACCCCCACCCCCCTTGACTCGTGGGTATGACGAAATGTTCAGTGGTCAGTCTGCTACTTTTCTGTTTTTCCTTTTTTACTATACTTTTCAAATAAATTTCTCCTTTTTAATTCAACTATTTTTTTCAATCATATAATAATTATGATGATAATGATGATAAATGTATGTAAATGTTGCAATTGGGAAGATTGTCAGAGAAAACACCTGTAACGACCCTTGATAAAGGTTAAATCCTAGCTCATAAATTGTTTTAAAAGGGATGTAACTTCCCTAGGGCAGAATTTTTTTTCTTTTTTTCTTTCTTTTTTTGAACAACAGGCTCCTTAAAGGGATAATAACTCTTCATTTTGGCCAAAAAATGAATATTCCTGGAGTAAACAACAATTTTCCCATACTTACCAATGTTGGTCCCTGGTTTTTTTCTAAAAAGTTTGTTTTTCTGTTATAATCTCTTAAGATGGAGGTCAACGTGGTCCAAAGACAAGCTCAGATATCAGAATAATAGCTATAACTGCCATTTCTGTGGTACAACAGAATATATTATATTTCTATGAGTTGTTCACAATGTTTTTATTGTGAAATATAAATTTCATATGAAGAGTTATTATCCCTTTAAGGTTGAAGACATTGAGTTTCCTATACCAGTGATTTTTCTGACAAAATAAAAAAAACAATCTTTTCACGACTGATTATAGACAATAATTAACTGTGACTTGACAGGAAGCTTGCTGACATCTATGAAATCTTTACAGTAATATGGCAATCTTCCATTGCTCAACTTTACAAACAATCCAAGATGCTCTTCTGAATCAGAAAATCTCATCTGGCTTACCCCCCCCCAGCTCTAAGCGATTTTCAGTGGGACATCTTGAAACTAATAATATCAATTTTTTTAATTTAATGGACCATATAAACTAATGTAATAAACCTAGGCTATTTTGACATAACTTTAAATCAATCAAAATTCTTCAGTTAAAAACATCTGGTTTCAAGTGCAAAATACACTCTTTTCTCACCCTCCTTTCAATTAAAGAATCCTACATCTCTGCTACCCTCTACCAGGGCGAGTGATAGATTTTTTACAGATATTCACAGATATGTCTCTAGCTAGATAGATGGTCATTTAGGGCTAAATGACCATCTATCTAGCTAGAGACATATCTGTGAATACCGGTATCTGTAAAAAATCTATCACTCGCCCTGGTAGAGGGTACATCTCTGCATTTGTTTATTATACCACAACTTTCAGGCCTGTAGCCAGGAATTGCAAAAAGGGGGTTGTTTTTCTGAAAATGTGGACCTTTTTTCATGAAGCCTTAGTTTACATAGATCAAATTTACCCAGAGTGGACCTTTTCCCGGCAAAAAAAAGGGGTGGGGTTCTTTTGAAAATCTCTCCCCGAACCCACTCTGGCTATGGGCCTAACTTTTACCTTGGTAGATTCAGTCCAGTACACATTGTGTGCCATCCAGTCCACGGCCACGCCATCCACAGTGACCAAACCCTCCTTTACAATGGGATGCCTAGGCAATGAAATACAATAGTCTAATTATTTACATTTTCTAAATTTCCAAAAACAACAACAACAACAACATAAATTGGAAAACAACACTCATCATTTCTTCAAGAAATGATTATCAGATGGAGACATACAAAGCATTTGGCCAATTTCTCTTTTGCTTCCTTTCTTAGTGTTTTGAGGTATTAATATGTCAGCTCTTTAAAGAAAAAAGAGTTTGACTTACACAGGTCTACCCAGTCTATCATAACTTTTTAGCAGACAAAATTCTCTTTTGGTTTATTATGTGTCTGTCATGATTAAAACCTAATCAGTCACCCTTGAAAATAACATACACTTAAATGGAAGGAAAATAGAAACTATTATTTTTTGTCTGTAGTTACAATGTGTAGCATAAGGAAGCACAAATGCTGTGACAGTCATGGTATAAACTTTTCAATTTTTGCACATAGTATGAAAGCTACTAAATACCTCTGCATGTGTGTGTATTTAAATACACTGCTCATATATATATACATATTACAACATTCAAACTGTGTTGAAATGAAAAAGGTTAAACTAAAACTAAGATATTTGTTTTGTTTGTTGATTAGTGTGCAGCACTTATCAGCAATTATGTAACAGCAAATCCAAATATCTCATTTAAACCTTATATATAGACAACAGCAAGGAATCATGAACGCTCCAGAAGAGCTTCTTTAAGGTCTTGTTATGGCCAGCAATTAATATGCTAGTGAATTTACATGATCACACTGAACCTTAATGACACACAGTTAACACTAAAATATTTGTTTCCATATGTTGATAAGTGCCCAATTTCTGTTTGAAAGTGCAGCAATCATCCACAATTCTGTGACAGCAACTCCAAATATCTCAATTAATCCTTGTTTATAATGGTAAGGTGTCAAGGACGCCCCATAAGAGCTTTGATCTATAAGCTCTTGTTATGGCCTGCAATATGCCAGTGATTTTACAAGATTACAGTGTACTTTACTGACACACAATGAGAGGAAAACAGCAAAAAACCATTTTAGGGAACATTTTGGTGATAAAGTAAAACTTGCTTGAAATTACATGACTTTTTTCAAAATAAAGGTCTAATACTCATTAATATTGTACTTGCATGTATGTCTTTAAAACAAAATGGTAACAACACATTCTCACTTTGTCTTATACTTTTTTACTCTCATTTTTTTTTTTCTTGTGTTAAAAGACATTATTTAGCATGGTTGTTTTCTGCAATGTAAGCAACAGGTTGCCAAGAGAGAGAAAATGTTTCACTGTACATCCCTTAAATTATCCGTCTGATCACTGCCCACAATTTGGAGAACAGGTATCAAGAAATAAGGGGGAAAGCAGGTGAAATAACTGTGTACAAATTGATCAATCATTGGATGTGGACCCCTGGAGAGATTTTGCAGAAAGATGTCTAGAAGCCTAGGAGAGCCATTGGAAGCACATGCACAGTGCATACGAAGTTCATGACCCTAAGAAAGACATACTTGAGGAAGCGGCATAAATATCACTTGAAACAGGAGAGTGTTTTTGTACAGCAATAGAGGAAGAACTAAGGTGACAAGATTCATACAGCACCTGTGGTTTGGCTGTAGATTCCAAGAAATTCAAAAAACCTTCAAAGTACATGGAAAAGTAGCTTCAAATTAATTTACAGATTAATTTCATCATGCACACTGGTCACAAGACTTCCTTCTATCAAAAAAACCCACACACAGCTCTTAAAATGAATGAAAGACCCTGAATTGAAGGGAGAATAATCCAGTGAATTCCAGCAATTATTGGAAAATAAAGAAAGTAAAGAATAACCCAGGGATACATAATCAACACTCTTGTTATCCACCCAACAATGAGTATGCTGTACTTTGAAACAGATTCCCTTAACAGTATTTAAGGAAGAACTAGAAAAGAACTGAGAGAGTGCAGACCTCCACCAAGGCAGCTCAATTCTCATCATTATTAATTATTTTGAATAAGTTTATTAAGTTATTTATTTATTCAATTCTTAATTAAAACTCATTCTTCTAAAAAATTTATATACCTAAAGAGACTTACACATATCCTGTGGTCAGATCGCCTTGATAAATGGCATCTTGAGTCACATCGCTGTAAAACACCTTTTCATTTGACCAATCATAGTCTAAGGCAATGGCATTTTTCAGGTGCGGAAACATCATTGGACTGAACTGGTTATGGCCTACAAAATCTGGGTAAACTTTCAAAATGGATGTCCTTGCTGCTATCAACATAGACGATGTGGTTGGCAAATCTAAAATTTAAAAGAAATATTACAATTTTTATTTATTTTTGTAGCTTTAAGTAAGGATAAAGTCTCAAGAGACTTTATCCAATCAAATCAAAGAACTAATTGAAAATATTTGCCCTTAGAGGTTTGACATACTATATGAAACTTGTCTATTTGCCAATTTTCATTTTTTGAACTAAAAATTGCAGGTTGCACACTGTGTTTTTATGAAGTATCACCTCAGAATTATCCAACTATTTAACACAGGATACTATAGAAACTCAAATGGACACAGTTTTTTTTCATAATAAATTATTTTTAAGTAAAGGTTGGGGTTCACTGCATATGAACAATTAATTGACCGAAGATAATAACATAATTTATACAACTGACATACACAATAAAGTCTGACTATGTTCTTATTTATAAAATATTATTATTGAATTGTTGATTAGAAATAAGTAAAATAAAGTCCTTCAATACCTTGTATAATCATTTTTATCTACTGCAGATTTGATACATCAAAAGAATTCAATGTCATCAATGATATTTTAAAATCTAATGTCACATATGAGGATAAGTGTTAAGTTATTTGGAAAAGATTTTTTTAAAACTTGTACTTCTGAGCAATTCCTTTTTCACTTACATGATACGCACCTTTGCATGAAAATTTGTCAGCTGCCAGGTAGCGCCCCTTTGGACATATGCAAGACACTCTATGGTCAGCCATCTCACCACTCCAGACACACAGACCATCACACAGATGACCGGAGCAAGGATTAATACCTGACATCAATAAAAAAAACCAGTGGTATTTTTCCTCAGGTAATTCATACATAACGTATCTTTGATGTTATCTAAACCATCAAAAAGATGACCAATCATTATATCTTGATACTTAACTATTTAGAAAAATCATAAATCTTTTGAAGCACTCACTTCTCAAACATTGATTTTAAAATATTTTAAAGGTCACTATGAGACCAAATTAACAAACAGACAGATGGACAGACAAACAGACAGACAGACAAATTCTTTTTTTCTGATTAAATCACACTTTCTGAGCAAAGATAGACTTTTTTTTTTCAATACAGAATATTATATATACTATAACAGCAATATCCAACTATATTAACAAAATATTAATATCAATCAGCCAAAAAATTCACCACACAGTCATGTTGGAATAAGAAATATGTATAAAAATTAAACAAATTCTGTAACACGTTTGCCACTCCTGGCTGTGATGTTTTGACCAGAAAGAAAGCTGTCAGTTTGAGTGTCACGTTGCAAACAAAACCAGAGTTCACGTGTGGCCACATAATTACCAGCAGGCTGGAGGGCAGTGTTCTTCACTACGAGTTGTTGTATCATATACCGAGGTTTGAGCACCGTCTTCCTGTCTTTGCCAGTCCTTTTGTTGACTGAGTGAATGCTGGAGAGGTAGTGATCAGCCCAGTAGATTACATCTTCAAATACAACCATGCTGGGAGGATCATACATCTTGATTTCAAAGGCAACCTAGAAAAAACAGCTTATTTGTTCAGTCATGTATTTATATTTATTTCAACATGTCAATCTTTTAGTCTCTTTGCTTATTTATTCATTCATATCCATTGAGCATTAATCTGTTTACATACACCAGCTCTCTAGACTTTCTTTCAATGTAATGAAATGAATTAATAACATAAAAAAGCAATTATTTCTTTTTTTGCTAGTTGAACTTGATCTTTACATTCTGGTTATTACAGATAATATTCAAAACAGCTATAATATTGGTAATGATAACAATTCAGTGAGAAACACTCTCACACTTTCCCCCTTTGCAAGGACCTGCAAACTGTACTGTACCAGGTACCAGGTATCTACAAAACATTACACAAACTTGGACCTCAAACAATTGATGAAAAATTTACTATCATTATGAAATTCCAAGAGGAAGAAACCTTCACTGCATTAGCTAAATATCTCTCCTTTGCCTTTGCTTGGAGGGATCTAGAAGGCACTGCTGCACTTTTTAGTAATTGAGTAGTAGTAATAGTAACTTGGCTTAAACAATTTTCATCAGTGTGTTAGTAGTAGTCATACCTCTAATAATTGTTTAACTTCATACTCGTTCAAAATTGCATTTATATTGTCATTGCATACGTTGCTATGTATAAACTGTAAACTGCTATAAACTTTAAGTCTTGCCCATACCCTATTTGTTCCAGTCTTAAGGTCAATCTTATTAACAAGTCCATCTTGATGCTGGACCCAGTATAACTGACCAGTGGGCAGGTCTAGGGCCAGTGGTGACGGGTGACCAGAACTGACCGACACCAAGTGGTGAAGCTCCATGCCATCCATGGAAAGACTGTCAATGTTGGCATGGGTACCGTTCCATATGGAAAGGTACAAGACTCTGGGAATAAAAGCAGAAAATTATAACAATCTGGAAATGCAAAAAATTATAACACTCTGGAAAAGCAGAAATCAAGGTACATGTATGACATCTCCCCACACAAACGCACACACACACAAAAAAAAAGTAGAAATAAATTTATTGCCTCTGGAAAAGTAGAAATCATGGTATAAAACTTCGGAAAAAATAAAAGGGCATGATACTCTTGAAGAGATTTGTGCAAGGAAAAAGGGCTTATACCCAAGTTTATTCCATCTTCTTCTCATATTCATGCTTTTAAACTTCATTTTAACTAAGTCATTTAATCACATTTATCCTCAATATGTAGCACGTGTGCTGTAGTGTGCTTTGTGAATGCATTTTTTTTTTTTTTTTTGAGATGTGCATTTTAAAAAATTCAGCACATCAACATAACTGCAAATTAAGCTAGCATGACTGGCATGCAGAAAAACTGAGAACAAGGAGAAATCTTGGAGCTCTTTTAAATATGTAAGCTGTGTAAGCAAATGCTCTATATATAGACCACAGTAAACAGTACGTGACTTCCACTGACCACAACTGAACAATTACACTACCTTTCATGACAGTGTTCCCACAGGAATTCCAATAACAAATTCAAGGACTTTTAAGGACTGTTTAGTAAATTTTACTGGGTTTTTAAATTAAAGTGTTTTAATGTTCTTTAACATGAAAATAATAAAATCAAATATTGTCCAAAAAGGGTATTCTCCCCTGCTGCCAATTATTGTCTACATTGATGTGGAAATGACACAATTTGAAATATTTGACAAATTGCGTAGTGATCAAATTCAAGTACTTTTAAGGGAAAAACAATGATGGAATACAAGACCTTTTCAGAGCTAATTACAATTTCAAACATTTCCAAAGGCGACCAACTGAATCCAAGGTCCAGGGCTAAAGTCAGGCACTTTTCAAGGCTGTTTGAACCCTGCATGATTCCAGGCAGCATAACAAGGGATGGTGCATGTCATTTCCCAATCATTTCATGAATCCCAACATATAATTACCTTGATCATAAATTTAGGATTTGCCAGAACTGCATGACCTTTATTTGACTACATGAAACACTATAAGTACCTACACACATGAAAAACAAAGGAAATTGACAGTTCTCAGTAAGTAGATTAAACGCAATGCGAGACCTCAACAAACATGTAAGTTAATACCTGTGAAAAGCGTCTACCACAATGTCTCTCCAAGTGTAGTTGCTGCTGCCGTTGAAGATGGCAGCACACCTGGTGCCATCTAGTGCGCAGACCAGTAACTGATGATGGATTGTGTCCTCCATGTATAACAACCTGCCTATCCAGTCCACTGTTATGCAGCCTATCTCATGAACGCCTGAAAATTTTGATGATACAATTACCTCAAATTTAAATATTGGAAATTTGTATAGCTGAAAGAAATTAATTTCTCCTAAATGGTAAACAAAGAAAAATATACAATCGCCCCGAAAACTGAACATTTTAATTCCTTATTTTTACCCTTACAAGTGAAATTCATTCATAATTATTATATATACAAAATATTATATAAATATTATTATAATATATAAAAGTATTATACAAATATTATTACAATATATAATAAATATTATATATATTCATAATATTACATTTAATAATATAAAATTGCCTTCAGTGAGGGACTTTACTCATTTGAACCGAATGTACCTAAATTATCAAAGGTAACGTAAGTGTTANTGTTTTGAAGCACTCACTTCTCAAACATTGATTTTAAAATATTTTAAAGGTCACTATGAGACCAAATTAACAAACAGACAGATGGACAGACAAACAGACAGACAGACAAATTCTTTTTTTCTGATTAAATCACACTTTCTGAGCAAAGATAGACATTTTTTTTTCAATACAGAATATTATATATACTATAACAGCAATATCCAACTATGTTAACAAAATATTAATATCAATCAGCCAAAAAATTCACCACACAGTCATGTTGGAATAAGAAATATGTATAAAAATTAAACAAATTCTGTAACACGTTTGCCACTCCTGGCTGTGATGTTTTGACCAGAAAGAAGGCTGTCAGTTTGAGTGTCACGTTGCAAACAAAACCAGAGTTCACGTGTGGCCACATAATTACCAGCAGGCTGGAGGGCAGTGTTCTTCACTACGAGTTGTTGTATCGTATTCCGAGGTTTGAGCACCGTCTTCCTGTCTTTGCCAGTCCTTTTGTTGACTGAGTGAATGCTGGAGAGGTAGTGATCAGCCCAGTAGATTACATCTTCAAATACAACCATGCTGGGAGGATCATACATCTTGATTTCAAAGGCAACCTAGAAAAAACAGTTTATTTGTTCAGTCATGTATTTATTTATTTCAACATGTCAATCTTTTAGTCTCTTTGCTTATTTATTCATTCATATCCATTGAGCATTAATCTGTTTACATACACCAGCTCTCTAGACTTTCTTTCAATGTAATGAAATGAATTAATAACACGAAAAAAACAATTATTTTCTTTTTTGCTAGTTGAACTTGATCTTTACATTCCGGTTATTACAGATAATATTCAAAACAGCTATAATACTGGTAATGATAACAATTCAGTGAGAAACACTTTCTCACATTTGCCCCCTATACAAGGACCTGCAAACTGCAATGTACCAGGTATCTACAAAACATTACACAAACTTCGGCCTCAGAACAACTGATGAAAAATTTACTATCATTATGAAATCCCAAGAGGAAGAAACCTTCATTGCATTAGCTAATATAAGTATCTCTCTCCTTTGCCTTTGCTAGGAGGGATCTAGAAGACAGTGCTGCACTTTTCGGTAATTGAGTAGTAGTAATAGTAACTTGGCTTAAACAATTTTCTTTAATGCATTAGTAGTAGTCTTACATCTAATAATTGCTTTACTTCATACTCATTCAAAATTGCATTAATATTGTCATTGCATATGTTACAATGTATAAAATGTAAACTGCTATAAATAGTCCGGCGGTTAAGTCCAAATTATTTCCAGAATTGTGCAAAAGTTGATAAAAGCATGAAACTTTCCACGATGAATGACCATTGGGTGTTTGTCAATTTTAGATCGGGGGGCAACTCCAAAATTCACAAGTACCCGGATGAGCGGCTCTCTTAAATATGCTGACTCAGCATTTTATGTACATTTAGATTTCATCAAAACAAGCACTACCAGCACTTATTATGATATCATAAATATATTTTTAAAATGTACGCTCACCGTGCACATTTATTAGAGCAATGATAACGTCACAATGGCGTCACTGGGTGATATTGCACAATATACCGTAGAATGACAAATATCCACTTTCTTCCATAGGAACAATAGTCTAACTGTTTCTTTCCCGCTATTTTTTTATCACAGAAATGCCCCCTTTAGGGCTAGAAAGTGAAATTAGTTTGGTTGCTACTTCCTAGACATTGAGCATTTTTCAAAATGGCCGTCAATTTTTTAGGAAAATAGAAAAACAACCAGAAGTTGACGGATATACTTTATTTGGGGCTCTTGTGAATGTGTTCCTGTCGGAAGAACACTGTAGGGTACAAGACTACACCCTAGCACGTCACTGTTACCGAGAAAAATGGCGGCCAAAACACAGGGTAGAGAAAAGGGTAAAGAAAATCAGGAAAATCAGCATACTTCTGGTATTATCAGTCTAATCAACAGCATATTCTTCTTTGATTTCTCCATTCATCGTGATTTTTCGTTAGCGATTATCCTACACTACCATTATCTGCTTGTAAAATATTCAAATTATGTGTGGTGAGGGAGTAAGCCCTCCAAGTAGTTAAGTTGCCACTCCAATTGGTCCAATAGTTGCACAATCCTGTGTTGTTTTCTGCAATTGTTAGAAAAAGAATTGTATCCTTTTGGGTTAGAAAAGTCAACTTATCTTTGCTTTAGTAGCTTCTGGGACACTTTTGTAACCCAAAATGGCTGCCAATTTTTACGTAAAAGGACAAATATTTATAGCAATTTACATCAAACTATATACAGTGTGTGTATATTCTTCATTTAAGTCTATTTGAATGTTTACAAACACAGAGGTAGTGTGTATTAGGATTTTCTTTTACATAATCTGCAAGTCATTTTAATAGAAATAACAAAAAGGGCCACCAAAAAGTACGGAAAAGGCAGGTAAAAAGATGGTAAATTATATTTTTTTTCACTGAAAAAGATTTTAAACGAATGAAATCTACATATACATTGTATGTCAGTAAAATTATACACTTGGAAGGCAACGTAATAAAACAAAAAGGAAAGGAGGTATATTAATCACGTTTCTTCTTCGATTAAGCAGTCAGTCATCTCTAATATGTCTGCAGTTACCCCTTTATGTTTGAAAAATAAGGCTAAAGACATTTACAACTTAGGTTAGATTTTTGATTAGGCTTTTTTCAGCGAACCGCCCAGCCGCCATTTGGACCGCTGCCTGAAAGCTAAAACCTATCAGACCTTCAAGCATCACTTGACAGCGCTAACAGAGGAAAAGTCGATTTTCATATTCGTTCAGTAGGGGCTACGTTTGCGGGAGATTGTCAGCGGTAGATCATTCTCAAGACGCGAAGGCAATTTACATATTTACAGAGGGAGATTGTTTGCGATCTGAGCGAGACAAGAAAGCAATTTTCATATTCTTTCAAGGGATTTTGTCCGTGGATGATTGGCAGCGGACGATTGTTACCAATCCGACCGAGACACTAAGGCAGTTTTCATACCTTCTGCGGGATGTCGTTTTCGATCCGAGAGAGACGAGAAAGCAATTTTCATATTAGAGCAAAGGAGTTCGTTAGCGGCATATCGTCAGCGTGAGATAGCTTCTTTTCCTTCTTTGGTGGGCTAAGGGGGCATAACAATAGCAAAGGTCTTTAAAATATTGTAATTCACATGCACAGATTTGAAGTTGTGTGTTTTTCTTTTGACCACGTGGATGCTAAAAATCCTAGGAATATGCGCCAACATCGTCTATCTTCAAGAAAGCCACACGGAAGGCGTGCAGCAAATGCACTGAGACTGAACGGACTCGGTATGATCAGTTTCAGTCGACAAACCGAATTTTCCCTTCATATCCGTAAGCTCATATTAATTAGCGACAAGGCATGGCACAAGCATGTAATGTAAATGTATTTGCCGTAGCAAATAGCCACTTACAATGCCATAAAAATTGCATGGAAAACCGTATATGATTTCATTTTACGGCATATGTAGCAAATGGCATTTAGCAATCCAAACGAGATGAAGAGGCAATTTTAACATTGTCAGCCGAATATCGTTTGCGATCCGAGCGAGACGAGAAGGTAAATTTCATATTCGTTTTAGGGACTTCGTCAGCAGAAAAATCATTAGTGGGAGATAGTTATGAATCCGAGCAAAACGAGAAGGCAATATGAATAAGGTCGGGGGGAGATTGTCAGCGATTTGAGGGAGACAAGAAGGCAATTTCCACATTTGTTCAAGGGCCGCATTAGTGGAAGATCGTCAGTGGGAAACAAGGTGGTTTGGTTGCGTTCATCAGCAACTGAGTGAAATATACATGTATATAATTTATGTTAATGTCACATGGCTGAGATGGTAACAACTGACTGCTGAATGGTAATTTTGCATTAAAATCCACGTGCTCTAGCAGTTCAGACTGCCACCAAAAAAAATACCAAAATAAGTCCGTAATTGAATTTTTTATGTATTTTTATATTATTTTTAATTATTTTTTATTTGTTATTTTTTATTATTTTATTTTCTTTGAAAATTATTCTTTCTCTTTTTCATTTACATTTTTTTTTATTTTTGAATGTAAAAAAAGCTTTTAATGATAGGTAAGGATAGTGGCCAATGAAAAATCCAAATGAACATAAAAATCGAAGGCGTTAAAAGTTTTAATTAAACTAATTATACCAGTAATAGACTGATTTTACTTCTATACTTCATCCTCTGCTGTATGCGTTGGCGGCCATTTTGGTTTATCCATACCAGAAACGCGCTAGTACGCAGTCAATTATCCTACTGTGTTTTTCTGACAGGAAATAGGTTCACAAGAGCCACAAATAAAGTATATCTGTAGACTTTTGGTTGATTTTCTATTTTCCCTCAAAATTGACGGCCATATTGAAAATGCTCAATGTCTTGGAATTAGACACCAAGCTAACTTAACCTTTCTAGCCCTAAAGGATGGATTTCTGTAATGAATGTTTACAGGAAAGATCATTGCAAGGTTCGACTATTTAGTATATGGGAGTCAGTAGATATTCGCATGTATTGTGCAATATCACCCAGTGACATCATCATGACGTCATTATAACTGTTATAGATGTGCACAGTAAGTGTATGTTTCTCACATTTATTCATATTATCATAATTAACGCCGGAAGTGCTCGTTTAAGGGAATTTTGGATGTACGTAAAAATGCTGAATCAGCATATTTTAAGAAAGCCGCTCATCCGGGTACTTGTGAATTTTGGCATTGCCCCCGATCCAAAATTGACAAACACCCAATGGTCATTCATTGTGGCAAGTTTCATGCTTTTATCAACTTTTGCACAATTTTTTGGCTTAGCCGCCTAACTAAAACTTTAAGTCTTGCCCATACCCTATTTGTTCCAGTCTTAAGGTCAATCTTATTAACAAGTCCATCTTGATGCTGGACCCAGTATAACTGACCAGTGGGCAGGTCTAGAGCCAGTGGTGACGGGTGACCAGAACTGACCGACACCAAGTGGTGAAGCTCCATGCCATCCATGGAAAGACTGTCAATGTTGGCATGGGTACCATTCCATATGGAAAGGTACAAGACTCTGGGAATAAAAGCAGAAAATTTTAACAATCTGGAAATGCTAAAATTGAGGTATGACATTCCAAAAAAAGCCGAAATAAAAGTATTACCCCTGGAAAAGTAGAAATTATGGTATAAAACTTAAGAATAGTGAAAAGGGTATAACACTCTTGAAGAGATTTGTGAAAGGAAAAAGGGCTTATACCCAAGTTTTATGTAGCATGTGTGCTGTAGTGTCTTTTGTGAATGCATTTTTATTCTATTTCTTTGAGATGTGCATTAAAAACAAGGCAGCAAAGCTGTCAAATGTACAGACAAAAAGCAGGAAATAACAAAATAGGCTACTGTCAATTCTGATGCAAAAGTACATTATGTTAAACTGCAAATTCAACATCAAATTTTAACTATGCTCAACAGGTAATACCAATGTAAGTAAAATGTGTAACAAGCATAAGGCTTCAGGCCCATGGGAGTTCAAGTTCACACTTTGAAAATGTAAAACTTCCAGAAAAAGAAGTCAATTAGACTGCTTTTCCAACTCGAGCTGCATTTTAGCAGTGTATGAAATGGCCACCTGACCGCCAGCCCGAGGCTGGTAACTTTCAGGCCGGGCGGGTAAGATTTGCAAATTACCCGCCCGACGGGCTGGCTATTTTTACAGCCTATTTTCACCTTTTATTTTGTCTATGTTCACAAGCAATTTCAGCAAGATATCAAATAAACTCACTGTTTTCACCCACTTTCATAGAAGCAAAGAACTAACCATAGCTTGCAATCAAACGCTCGTATCGAAATGTAACCAACAGTCTCCCTCTCAGTGGCCTCGTTTTCGAAGTTCCGTCTGTGTGATATGAAGTTGAAAGACAATTTGAAACGAGGCACATTGTTCTTAACCAGCTTCAGTGCACAGCAGATAACGTTATGTCATTGTTTTGTGTAGAGGAGATACCGCGAGTAGCAATTTGTAGGTTGAGAGTAATAAATATGTGAAAGTATAAAAAGTTATGATATTGATTAAATAGACTTATAGGTACATGTAGTGCTTATAATCAACAGTAATAAAGGCAACGGAGTCAAATTAAAGGAGAATTTTACAAAAAATTTGATTCCCAAAATTATGAGTGAACGTACGAGTTTACGCCGTGCGTCAGATGTAGTTCTTTTCCCACGTGCTTTCATCTTGGGCTGTCAAAAATGAAAAAATTCTATCAAGTCCGACAGAGAAGTTCACAAAAGAAAAACAATTGAGGAAAGAAATAAAAATAACAAAGATTACGACAGAACCAAACGAAAGAGAACAAACTGGGACCCATGGAAAGGTGACTTCGATTTGCAATTAGTCGAGCGGCAACATTTTTTGTAAAACCGTAACTCGAAAGTATCACGCATTGCGACCTAGCGCAAGCATCTCGATCCAATAACTCGCCCATACTCGCCCCATATAATATATTGTAGCCTCTATGTGATATATAAAGCTATTCTCAATAAGCAATGCTTTCGAGATACGGGGCCCTGCAGGACTGTCTATGGGCCATTACCGTGCAGGACCGTTCCCGACCGCTTTTTAAAGCTTAAAAGCGATATTCAAAGGGACCCTACGTGCTAAATTCTTTCTTCTTTATTGTTAGCACAGATATCGATTTATTTGACAACAATATATATATTTGGTCATAGTTGTTGCTATAAAGAAAAGCAAAAATTATGATCTAATGATATCACGAAATCGGAATAAAAGTTATGAATAAATTATTGAAGAAGAAATGAGACAGCCTGCAAGGTGAACATAAACTGAATTTACTACCCCCGCCATCCCCCGCCCGCTAAAGGGCCCTGAAAATTTTTGGTATTTTAGATGGTGAATGGTGCCATTTGGTATGGTTTAGAACTATGATTCCTAGTGAAAGTCTTATTTCAAGAGGTGAGTTTTTTTTACAGAAATTAAAAGGGGGGCGTCAGGAGCACCCTGACCCCCTCTAAATCCAACACTGACAAGGAAGGTATCATATGGTAGAAATTCCAACTAATTTCTAAATTTCCATGCATAAGGCATGATATTGCCCTTTCATTTCCAAATTACTCTCCCAAGAATGCATTCTAGACCCCCTCAGCATACCTGTCTTAACTCTAGGGGTTATCATAACTAGGGCAGGTTACTACATGGCCGGGCTGGTAACTTTTCAGAGTTACCTGCCCGGCGGTCTGGCTAGTAATTTCCTTGAATTTCATACACTGATTTTAGTCCTGTGTTTCTTTTTTAAAAGTTTGACAATCATAAGTAATATGGTTTTCCCATGATGGTCATCATGGCAGCAATACCCAAAATTGTTTTCTTCTATTTTGATGCAATATTTCATAATGCTTAACATCATAAAGACCATCAGTTTTTAATAATAAAAAATACGTATCGTGGATTTTCAGAAAATGTGACTAGCATGGGTCTTCAAGCCCAAGGCGGTTCTAAGTCACACCTTGAAATTGCCAATATGTGAAAAATTAAATTTTCACAAAAAACTGATTAACTGCCAGAAAAATTTACCAAACAGACTGCATTGCCTAATGAAACTGTATTTTAGTCCCATGTTTCTTTCCTGTAAGTTTGAGAACAGTAAGTGACAATTTTGAGAACAGTAAGTGACACATCTGTGTCTGTACATAAAAATTCAGCGCATCAACATAACTGCAAATTAAGCTAGCATGACTGGCACACATATAAACTGAGAACAAAGAGAAATCTTGGAGCTCTTTCAAATAAGCTGTGTCAGCAAATGCTCCATATAGACCATGGTAAACACTGACTTCCACTGACCACAATTGAACATAATTATACTACCTTCCATGACAGTGTTCACATAATAAGAAATTCAAGGACTTTCAAGGACTATTTAATTGCAAATGAGGGCAACGTACTGTCATTTATAAGTGGACATACAGAAGATAAAAGGCAAGAACCAGTAATATTTCATACAAGCTTTGTATTTTAACACATTTTATTGGGTTTTTAAATTTAAGTGTTTTAATGTGCTTTAACATGTAAAGAATAAAGTCAGTTATTGTCTCCCCTGCTGCCAATTATTGTCTATATTGACGCTGAAATGACAATTTCAAATATTTGATAAATTGCTTAGTGATCAAATAAAAGTAATTTTAAAGGACAACGATGGAATACAAGCCCTTTTCAAAGCTAATTGCAATTTCCAATACTTCTAAAGGCAACAAACTGGATCCAAGGTCCAGAGCTAAATTCATGCAGGCACTTTTCAAGGCTGTTTGAACCCTGCATGATTCCAGGCAGCATAAAGAGGGATGGTGCATGTCATTTCCCAATCATTTCATGAATCCCAACATATAATTACCTTGATCATAAATTTAGGATTTGCCAGAACTGCATGACCTTTATTTGACTACATGAAACACTATAAGTACCTACACACATGAAAAACAAAGGAAATTGACAGTTCTCAGTAAGTAGATTAAACGCAATGCGAGACCTCAACAAACATGTAAGTTAATACCTGTGAACAGCGTCTACCACAATGTCTCTCCAAGTGTATTTGCTGCTGCTGTTGAAGATGGCAGCACACCTGGTGCCATCTAGTGCGCAGACCAGTAACTGATGATGGATTGTGTCCTCCATGTATAACAACCTGCCTATCCAGTCCACTGCTATGCAGCCTATCTCATGAACGCCTGAAAATTTTGATGATACAATTACCTCAAATTTAAATATTGGAAATTTGTATAGCTGAAAGAAATTAATTTCTCCTAAATGGTAAACAAAGAAAAATATACAATCGCCCCGAAAACTGAACATTTTAATTCCTTATTTTTACCCTTACAAGTGAAATTCATTCATAATTATTATATATACAAAATATTATATAAATATTATTATAATATATAAAAGTATTATACAAATATTATTACAATATATAATAATATATTATATATATTCATAATATTACATATAATAATATATAATTGCCTTCAGTGAGGGACTTTGCTCATTTGAACCAAATGTACCTAAATTATCAAAGGTAACGTAAGTGTTGTGTGTTCAATTTGTGTTGCTTATTCAAAATTCTGCCTTAATATTAAATTGAGACAATGTATTACGATATGCTATTTCAGGAGTGTGCAGATGATCTGGAAGCAGAATGACTACTGATGGGATGATGGGCTGTCTGAACAAGAGGTGGCAAGAAATCTTGAAAGATTTTTAAAAGAGTACAATGCAAGACCTTAAAATGTGATCTGGATTTCATGAACTGCTGTGTCTGGGATTATAAAACAAACTCTTGAAAATCTTACATTTTGTTCGCATTTGTAACAGGAGGCTATTTTTTTTTTCAAAATTGGGTTTTATGCTAGTGAATTTTGGTTTGGGCTTGTATAGTAGATTATCAGTCCCCATGGGGGCCAAATGGCCTGAAGTTGAAAAAGTATTTGGCACGGACCATGGTAATAATAATAATAATAATAATAATAATTATAATAATTGTAACCTTTAACAGTTGATAACAAGTAAATTGCTTTAAAATTCTCACATGGAAAAATCAATGGCTTCAGCCACTTAGATTACTATTCTGAAGCATGTGTCCATGAGCTATAACTTTCTTACCATTGGTCACCACAGGCTGGACATCAGTACCATCCAGTCTGCTGGACATCACCCTGCCCTGCCTAATGACTGACCAATACAGCCTACTGTCCACACTATCATACCCTACCAATATAATAATTATCATCATTATATAATTCTTATTAGGTGCATTCCATAATTATCAATGCTCCTTACATAAATAATTAAATTTTTTTATCACTGAATAAAATCAACCACAAAATTCAAATTTAAAACAATCATTTATGATACTAAGTTCATGAAAAACTGAAATTATTATACCATAATAAAAGTTACTTTAATTTTATAATGTTTTTTCAATTAAGTTTTAAGACATTTACATTTTTTTTGCCTCTCTTATAGTCAAATATGGCAGTTACCTCCAAAATGTTGGGACATATTATTCAAAGTCAAATATGGCAGTTACCTCCAAAATTTTGGGACATATTATTCAAAAGTCAAGTTCCCATAATAATTATTTGCCATTCTTTTTGTGACTGAATACTACACTTTAAAATGAAATTGTTCAAAGACACTTCTTCCGTATCTCTCACTTATTTTAAGTATGCCTTGCAATTATAACATTCCTAAAAAGGTAAAAGTATACAGAAATTGAAAATGTTACATGACAGAATTTTATGCCCAGAATTTTATGCATTTTATGCTCATGCAAATTCAACATCTAATAAGTGATCATGGTTCCCCCTCTTCAAAATCACTTTACATGCTCACCTATATTTCTGATATGATGCAGCCTGGACTGCCTTGCTACAACACCATGGCTGCTGTTAGCGTCCAATGTCACAGTGTGAAGACTTCCCTGAGACACATACAATAACGAGGCATCAGGATCCACAGCCCTGCACTCCTGTCCATACGATTGGTATCTGGAACAAAAAATTTTCATTTGTGAAATTTACGACTTGAATCTCATTTATCTTCATCTTCTTTAATTAATTGATAAAATGAAAGCAAAAGCATTGATTAATATTTCTTTTAAAACGGTTCTCTGGAGTAGATAAATGACAAAGCAAAAAAAAAAAAAACTTCCATCAAAATAATTTGGTGATAACAGTGAAATTTTTAAAATCATAAATTGTTTCAGTGTTCTGTTTCAGTTCCCTTCTAGTAATTACAAAACATTGTAATCATGCAGGGTCTTCAAAACACAACAGTTAACCTGAAAATGTTGACATATTACAGATAAAAAATAATAGATGTAAAATATAAGTGATTTATTAAGTCATAGATTTCACTGTTTCCTGTTCAAACTACAGTTGCATAAGGATTCCACGTTTTTAATGGGGAATTTGAAAAGATGGTGAGTTATACTGAATTAGTTGTAATTTTTTTATGTCATAAATTCTTAAAATTAAAACATTCCTAATGAGCAGAAGCAACAACACGCATAAACAGGCTAACAGTTCTATTCTATACAGAAAAAGAACCAAAAATGATAGGGAAAACTAGTACCTCTAAAATTATGTATAGGGAATATTGACATTTTCCTCCATTGAAAAGACTGAGTCATCATCATACTATAAAGAAGAACAAATATATATCAATTAATCCAACATATCACTTCGACAGTGTCTAACAGCATGAGGTACCTACCCTTTTACACAAGCACAGTGGTAAGTTCCAGGTGTATTATAGCAGAGCTGACTACATGGAGATACTGGGAGTGTCCTACATTCATCAATATCTCCACATGTTCTGCCATCCTCCTGTATGACATAACCCTTGGGACACGTACACACAAATCCAGTTGGTAGACTCTGGCAATTGTGACTACATTGTTTGTTTATGCATCCTTGACCTGAATGTATGTTATTTATGATTAGTAAGTGATACACACATTTCTAAATGCACTGTACAATATTTGGGACAGGCTGGTACATACAATTCCAGTTGGTAGTATAGGCTCATGCTGTTGTGACTACATCTTCTGACATCCTTGACCGTCATGTATGTCATTAAAAAGTGATACACACATTTCTATTGCAAAATTGTATACCATTTGGGTTATGTACACACAAATCCAATAGGAAAACTCTCACAACTGACCTATACCACTACACATATAGTTTATAGAATAATGATACAAAAAAACAGTAAAAAGATTTCTTTTGCATGTCTTTTCCATTTAAATTCAACCTGCATGGAAAAAAGCTAATTATTTTTTTCTTAAGTCAAATCTATACAGTTTAATAGATGATCAAAGTAAATGTTTGCTTTAGTCCTTTTTGATGAAAGGAAAATAAAGCCAAATTACATACAAACTGATAATTTAAAATATATAATGGATTATTTCCTTTGGTTAACGAAAATAATGTTAAATACACAATCAACCTGATTTCAGGATAATACACTCATTGCAACAACCACATAATATGATAATTATGAACATAAAGTGAATCTAAGATCACCACATGAGAAAAAGTCCCTATATATTCACTGGGAAACCACTTACCACATCGCTGACCCTCGTCAGAGGAATCCCCACACTGGGCCACCCTGTCACACACTAACTGCAGATCAATACACTGAGAATTCCCACACAAATATTTGCCATGGCTAGCATTGCACTCTGCAGGGGACAAACCTGGGAAAAAAATTTAAAAACTTGAAACATGTAATCTATAATTGTGAAATAAGTCTAGTTTTACACCAGTGCATGTTATTATGGTTAAATTAAAATTGTATTTACATGTCTGAGAAACCCAAAAACTGTAAAAAAATAAATTGAACATTACTGAATATTGAAATATAAACTTGAAAAAGACCTATACACTCCCAATCACTAATTTACTATAGCCAGTTCATCATAATGATCTGGTTGGTCTTGCTACCTTTTAAACGAGTCTCACCACAATGTGATCAGTGCATTTCGATGTACTGTCACACTTAACACACTCACCTCAATGCTGTCTGTTGGAATGGTCTGCACTTCCTGTTTCATTGTCACACATAACAGATTCACCAGTATGCTATTCATTTGTGGTCTGAACATTCTGCTCTACTTTCACATCTAACGCACTCAACCTATCACACCTAGCACACTCTCCACAATGCATCTTAGAATACGACTTCCAATGCTGACCACCTCCTTGGTCAGTAATATCTGTTCTACTGTCACATCTAACACACTCACCACAATGCTGACCACCTCCTTGGTCAGTACTATCTGTTCTACTGTCACATCTAACACACTCACCACAATGCTCCTCATCCGAGTGGTCTGCACAATCTGGCGTGTTGTCGCAGTGCCAGGAAGCTGGGATGCACTTCTCTCTGGACTGGCAAAGAAACTCATGAGAACTGCAGTTCAGGATTGCTGAAAAGGTTAATGAAAAAGTTCATGAATTAATCAGACACAATGTCTGCATTCTTCAGCTAAATTTAAGTAGGAGAGCATTAAGAATGCATTTCGAATACATTCATAAGGAGATTCTACAAAGAAATATAGAACCATATTAATATGCTCAATTACCAATCATTTTCACCCACTTTATGTTTTTAACTAGTGTACATGTGTTAAAATCTTAACATCAAAATATGATCAAACCAGTTGTCAGAAAAAAAGTAGGAGGAAATGGATCAGTCAGTAGCTATAGCCTTAAGCCATGTCTAGGGACAGCCACAAAAATCTGATTTTCCATTTTAATTTTGAAAAAACACTGTATTATAAGACTGAAATAAGAAATCAATTCCACATTATTAAGAGACTTGGTCTAGACAGCTTGTGTCCAAGGACACTATTTCACAATATCAACCTACTGCTTTGAACATGATGGACACATATATATATACTAGTATAAAAAAAAAAAAAAAATATATATATATATATATATATATATATATATATATATATATATATATATATATATATATATATATGTGCCAAAAACATAAATAAGATGAAAATGTCTCTCACCATGATCACAGATTTTAGCAACCTCATCTGAACCATCAAAGCAATCTGCCTCTCCGTCACATAGCCAACCTTTGGGAATACACCGCAAGTTGTCATGGCAACCATGCTCATGCAGTCCACATCGTATACCCAAGTGAGCTTGGGGCTCTGAAAAATCAAAAAGAAGTAAATAAATATTGTTTTAACATTTAATTAAAATTTGAAATAGTACTGATGAAAGACATACAGGCTAGAAGACTTGTGGCATTCAGGTAGACATAATTTCATGCCTTCAGTGGGTAAAACCAGATTATTTCACAAGAAATTTAGTAAATCAAATTTTAAGTAATTATCACTTTATATGTCAGAATTGTTGCAAAGGCAATCTGAGGAGTTTACTATCAGCACTGACCCTAGGCCAAATGCGGTTACATTGAAGTCATTGTTTCTGCCTTAAGCCTCACAGACCCTTAGACCCTGCATGGTGGCTTGAATGGCCAGTAAGACAAGTTTTTGGCACAGACAGTGTCAGAATCAATGTCTATTACCATGTCAAGGAGACTTAACAGTTCAAGGTGAATGCAATAACAATATAAACAACACACAGATGTGATACTGAGTGTAAGTTAAAAAAACAAAATTGCACATATGACTAAGGCATGTAATACACTACTAAATAACAAACCTTGAACACTTTTGACGTGTGTGTGTGTGTGTGTGTGTGTGTGTGTGTGTGTGTGTGTGTTAACAGAAATCATGTATGCTTGCATGTGGTCAGGCAATGCTGTGCTAGGATATATGCATGGTAAATAAATATGAAATTTGTCAATGGGAGGAAGACTAAGACAAAGAGCTGGAATGCAGCTATAGTGGCCCTGGAGATAGTGGGTCCTGGTTAACAGCATTTACTCCCACTGGTAGTCAGTGCTAATTAAGTGACATCCACATCGTATCTTTGCTGAACATTCAGAACATTGTTTCAGAGTTTGTGCCAGACCAGATGAGAAGCAAAGACTAGGCATTTTTTACACGTTTTAAAGTAGATAGCAAGACAATTGCATGAGTATGGGAGAGTTTACCTTAATTACCTCAATCACAAAGAAATATTTACATGGCATTTCAGTACTGTGAAACTGATAGAGGCGGACAAAAAGACTTCCACCCCTAAGATGTGTCAACGCGTCATTATTATTTTCATTTTATATTTCAGATCTTATAAAGCAGTGATAACAAAAGTAAATACTGGAGAGCTCGAGTCTCGAGCAGAGTAGAAACAAAAATTGCCTACCGGTTCATTTTTAAACAAAACTACACATTTAAAAAACAACATATGCACCACTGCTACCATTTAGATATTCTTTGCGATGCTCTTTCAAAAAGGGGTTGAATAAAATGCTGCTTTTACTGTAGCCGATTAACTATATCAATTGTTTTTTAAAACCTCTACGTCTTCTCTCCTCCACAACCAGCCTCGAGGCTTTTCATTCCTTCATCTAATGAAGAGTAAAGTCCGCGAAAGACGTCTTTTGAGCTTTGGCACGTGTGCAACAACCAACCGGCCACGAGAAATCTACCTACTTTCCGGAAATAAATCCTTCGAGTCTGTGGTCAGCAATTTTAAAGGAGTTTATCTGTCTGAAAAGGTGGACCCTTTTCACCAGGAAACCCACGCGTGTCCAGAGAACTTAGATCAAATTTCAATTTAGAGCGAACCTTTTCAGGCTTAGGGCCTACAGGGTGTAGTTTTTTCCCTAACTCCCAGAATCACCCTACCTACGGAACTAACCTACCTTGTTTTGTGCACTCAATCCCATAAAGAAACAATGCTAACCAACCCAACACCAGCATGTCTACACAAGTAGCTGCCAGACCTGCGTGGAACAGCGAAAGATTGTAACAACCGATGGAGAGATGGCGACCTAGCGCTCGTTCGACAGTCCACACGGGTGGATGAATGAGTGAATGAATGGAGCAGGTCGTTCTGCTCGAGTGAACCTTGAAACGGTGGAAGCAGGTGATTGGATGAAAAAGGATGTTATTATGACGTCAAATGGGCAGAGATGATTTGGGCATTGTATGTAATTTCAGATGGAAATGGGGGGCATGTTGACTTGCTTACTCTCACACCACCTTTTCGGTCTATTGGAGTAACGGGGGGAGGTGAATTCCATTTCGGAACAGGTTTTACATATACTTTTGTCCCATGTTCTACTTACCTTTGCCAATTCAGACATTTAAAAAAATAAAAAAAATCTTATAATAGTGCGGGGTACCTGATGTCGATATTTCCTTTTTCGGCCATATTTAATCCGCGGATCATCTGGCTAATAATGATATGACAGTGTGTAGTAAAACTAGTGTGTTGTGCTGCGCTTCACATACTGCAGGGCAAAATGAGAGAGTGAGGGAGAGAGAGAGAATAGGGGCAAATAATTGGTGTAAAAAAATAACTGTAAACTGGTCGCTTTTTCCTTAACTCCATTTTAGCCTTAAATTTCACATTAATCATTTCCACAAAAAAAAGCTTCCAGATCATTTCTTGAAGTTGTGCAGCCCCAGCAGTGCTACATTACTATATACATGTATCAACAAAATAGATTTAAAAAAAGAAATCCCCGCTTGCAAATAAATGGACAAAACACCCTAAGTTTCAGGTGCCAATGGGAACTTCTCTCTCCAGACACACTCGACAGAGGCATGGTGATAGGAAACAGGATGAGTGTCCATTGTTCTCTGAAAGGGTGATATATAAGAAGACCGACAAAATCAAGGTTTGTCTGGAGAAATACATGGGACAATAGATCAATGCAAATTAACTCATGTATTTGCTACCTCGCGTAACATGACGAAGACAAGCCAATAGCTTCGTCACACACACAGGGGGGGAAATCAAACTTTTGTTATAAATAAAAACGCCATTCAAGGTTAAATATTAAAAGAGACTAAACAAATCATCATAAGAAAACAGACGTTCGACTGTGTATCTACAGGATATAGGAAGCATACACAAGTGCCCAGTACTATCGCACCAAAATATTACCCATCCAGGTGGTGGCTTATTTAGTTGACCGCTACAATAACGGACCGGGGTTATTGGCAGAGCGCGTCATGCCCCATCCTTGCCCCACCCCCCCC